AAGGGACACAACACCCCTCACTGCACCCATTCCCACGGCGGTGGCACCCCAAAACGCGGGCGTGAATGGGAAGGGGGATGCGTGAGGGCGACGGGGATGCCTGGGGATATTTGGGGACGCCTGGGGACAGTTGGGGACACCGACCTGCTGGTCCTGCAGCTGGCGGATGGTGCTCTGGGCGCGCTGCAGGTTCTCGGTGGCCGAGGTGCAGCGCTGCTTCACCACCGCCAGCTCCCTCTTGATGATGTAGTTCTCCTCCGCCTCCTGCGCCCGCGTCACCTGGCCCTGGGGACAGCGGGGGACGCGTCACCCGCGCCGCACGCGTGGCACCGGGATGCGGTACCGGGATGTGGCACCGGGACTGGGGTGGGTGGTGGTGGTGGTGGTGGTGGTGGGGACGAGGGGGGGACACTGGGGACACGGAGGGGATGCTGGGGACAAGGGAATGACACTGGGGACACTGGGGATGCCAGTCCTGCAATGGGTGATGCTGGGGACATGGGGTGACGGTGGGGACAAGGGAATGACACTGGGGACAAGAGGGTGATGCTGGGAACATGAGGTGGTGGTGGGGACATCAGTGACGCTGGGGACATGAAGTGATGGTGGGGACAAGGAGGTGACACTGGGGACATGGAGGTGATGCTGGGGACAAGGGAATGACACTGGGGACACCAGTCGTGCAATGGGTGATGCTGGGGACAAGAGGGTGACACTGGGGACAAGGGAATGACACTAGGGGCAAGAGGGTGATGCTGGGGACATGAGGTGGTGGTGGGGACATCGGTGATGCTGGGGACATGAAGTGATGGTGGGGACGAGGGGGTGACACTGGGGACATGGAGGTGATGCTGGGGACATGAGGTGACACTGGTGACATGAAGTGATGGTAAGGATAAGGGGGTGATGCTGGGGACATGAGGTGGTGGTGGGGACATCGGTGATGCTGGGGACATGAAGTGATGGTGGGGACGAGGGGGTGACACTGGGGACATGGAGGTGATGCTGGGGACAAGGGAATGACACTGGGGACACTGGGGATGCCAGTCCTGCAATGGGTGATGCTGGGAACAAGAGGGTGACACTGGTGACATGAGGTGGTGGTGGGGACATTGGTGATGCTGGGGACATGAAGTGATGGTAGGGACAAGGGGGTGACACTGGGGACAAGGGAATGACACTGGGGACACTGGGGATGCCAGTTCTGCAATGGGTGAGGCGGGGGACAAGAGAATGACACTGAGGACAAGAGGGTGACACTGGGGTCAAGGAGGGGATGCTGGGGACATAGGTGACACTGGGGCCATGAAGTGATGGTAGGGACAAGGAGGTGATGCTGGGGACATGTGGTGACACTGGGGACAAGGGGATGACACCGGGGACAAGAGGGTGACACTGTGGACATGGGGTGGTGGTAGGGACAAGGGAATGGCACTGGGGACGTGGAGGTGACGCTGGGGACATGAGGTGACACTGGGGACAAGGGGATGACACTGGGGACAAGGGGGTGACACCAGGGATGAGGGGTGACATCAGAGACAAAGGGTGACACCCGTCCTGCAGTGGGTGAGGTTGGGGACAAGGGAATGAGACTGGGGACATGAGGTGACGCTGGGGACATGGCATGACAGGCGGGACATGTGGTGACATTGGGGACAAGGGGGTGACACTGGGGACATTGGTGATGCCAGTCCTGCAATGGGTGAGGTTGAGGACAAGGGGGTGACACCAGGGATGAGGGGTGACACCAGGGACAAGGGGGTGACACCAGCCATGGAGGGTGACACCAGTCCCACAGCAGGTGACACTGGGGACATGGAGGTGACACTGGGGACAAGGAGGTGATGCTGGGGACATCGGTGACACCGGGGACAAGGAGGTGACACAGGGGACATTGGTGATGCTGGGGACAAAGGGATGGCACCAGAGATGAGGGGTGACACTGGGGACAAGGAGGTGACACCAGGGACAAGGAGGTGATGCTGGGGACATCGGTGACACCGGGGACAAGGAGGTGACACAGGGGACATTGGTGATGCTGGGGACAAAGGGATGGCACCAGAGATGAGGGGTGACACTGGGGACAAGGAGGTGACACCAGGGACAAGGAGGTGATGCTGGGGACATCGGTGACACCGGGGACAAGGAGGTGACACAGGGGACATTGGTGATGCTGGGGACAAAGGGATGGCACCAGAGATGAGGGGTGACACTGGGGACAAGGAGGTGACACTGAGGACATCAGTGATGCTGGGGACAAAGGGATGGCACCAGAGATGAGGGGTGACACTGGGGACATGGAGGTGACACTGGGGACAAGGAGGTGACACCGAGGCCACAGAGGTGACACCAGCCCCATGGGGACTCCAGGGCCACTTTGTCCCCTCGGAGCCACTCACCTTCCACTCCAGCCCCACAGATTTGGGGTCAAACTCCCCAAGACCGCAGCTTTGACCCCAATTTTGGGTCAAACTCCCTCCCCAAATGCCACTGCGTCAATCCCCCCATTGCCGCCGAACCCCAAAACGGGCCCCAAAAACCCCCATTTCCCCCCCAAATCTGACCCCAACGTGGGGGGGACGCGCGGGAGCCTCCGGGAAAGCGAGGAAAACAGCAAAACTTCCCCCAAAGAGAGGGAAAAGGGTTAAAGAGAGGGGAAAAGGGGAAAAGGGGGAAATAAGGGGGAAAAAGAAGGGAAAAGCGGAAAATAGAGAGGGAAAAGGGGTGGAAAAGAGTTAAAGAGAGGGAAAAAGGGGGAAGAAAGGGAAAAGGGGAAAATAAACAGGAAAAAGAGGGGAAAAGGGGAAAAAGAGGGGAAAAAGGAGGAAAAGGGTTAAAAAGAGGGGGAAAGGGGAAAAAGGAGGGGAAAAGGGAAAAAGAGGAGGAAATGGGGAAAAAGAGGGGAAATAGGGGGAAAAGAGAGGGAAAAGGAAAATAGAGAGGGAAAAGGGGTGTAAAAGCATTAAAAAGAGGGAAAAGGGTGAAAATAGAGAAGGAAAATGGGTTTAAAAGAGAGGAAAAGATGGAAAAATGGGAAAAGGGTAAAAAAGAGGGGAAATGGGGTAAAAAAGAGGGGAAATCGGGGAAAAATAGAGGGGGAAGGGAAAAATGGGGGGAAGTGTTAAAAAGGGGGAGAAGGGTTAAAAAGAGGGGAAATCGGGGAAAAAGAGGGGAAATAGGGGGAAAAAGAGGGGAAAAGGGGAAAAAAGAGGGGGGAAGGAGAGAAAAGAGGGGAAATAGGGTTAAAAAGAGAGGAAACAGAGGGAAAAAGAGGGGGAAAAAGGGAAAAGGGGGAAATGGGGGAAAAAGGGGAAAAATGGGTTAAAAAGAGGGGAAAGAGGGGAAAATAGAGGGGAAATAGGGGAAAAAGAGGGAAGAAGGAGGGAAAAAAAGGGGAATGGAGGGGAAAAAGGGGGGGAAAGGGTTAAAATGAGGGGGAAAAAAGGGGAAAAAAGGCAGGAAAAGCGTTAAAAAGGGGGGAAAGGGGTTAAAAAAGAAGGGAAAAAGGGGAAGAGAGGGAAAACAGCGATTTGTGACACTACCTGGATGAGCCTGTCGGCGAGAGCCGCGCTCTCCTGCGGCGCAGAAATGGGGGCAAAAGAGAGAAAAAGAGGCAAAAAGGAGATGAGCGGAGGAGACGGAGGCAGCGAGAGGCGGAGGCACCCGGCGACCGGCCCGGTTGGGAGGGAGATCCATGGGTTTTGGGGGGAAATCCAAGGATTTGGGGGAAATTTCTAGGATTTTGGGGTTTTTAGGGTGGTGATGGGGGTGGTTTGCCCTAAACTGAGGCATTTTTGCACCTCCCAGGGGGAGATTTGGGTGCTCCAGGGGTGCTTCAGGGTGCCCCCAGGGGTTTTTGGGGTGCTCCAGGGCGGATTTAGGTGCCCCAGAGGGTTTTGGGTGCTCCAGGGTGGATTTAGGTGCCCACTGGGGTGTTTTGGGGTGCCCCTGGGGGGATTTAGGTGCTCACAGGGGTGTTTT